GGCTACATGAATCTTTTTTCTCCATTGTGTCCTATTAAAAGTTAAATTCTCATTTAAATCTAACAAAGCAAGGTCATTCTTAATATTTTCTAACCAAGTCTTTTTAGGTCTACCCCTACCTTTCTTAACATAAGTCAAATCTAATACCTCTACTCTCCTAATCGGGTCATCGGAAGGTTGCCATTTTATGTGACCAAACCATCTAAGGCGACTCTCTCTAATCTTATCTTCTGCTGGAGCTACTCCAACCTTTTTACGTATATGCTCATTTCGTATCCTATCTCTAAGGGTAAAGCCACTCATCCACCTGAGCATCCTCATCTCTGCCACACTTAACTTAGTATTATGCTTCTTTTTTAATGACCAACATTCGGCACCATAAAGCATTGCAGGCCTCACTACCATCTTATAGAATTTTCCCTTAAGTTTGAGGGGTACATTTCTATCACATAACAAGCCCGATGCATTCCTCCATTTCAACCATCCAACTTGAATTCTGCTGATAATATCCCCATCTATTTCACCATCACTCTGAACAATAGATCCAAGATATCTAAAACCTGTACTCTTATTAATGACTTGATCGCCCAAAGTCACAATCCCCTCACTAGGTCTATTACTACTAAAATTACACTCCATATATTCCGTTTTAGATCTACTTAAGCGAAACCTTTAGACTCTAAGGTTGATCTCCATAATTCAAGTTTACCTTCAACTCCCTCTCTAGTCTTATCAACAAGAAGAATATTATCAGCAAAAAGCATACACCAAGATACATCCTCTTGCAAATGTCTCGTGAGAACATCCATGATTAAAGCAAAAAGATATGGGCTTAAGGCTGATCCTTGATTGTAACCCAACTGAAATAGGGAAATACTTAGGTCAATCCACCTTGTGTTTGAAGACAAGTAATAACTCCTACATACATATCTTTAATGATTTGAATATAAGCATTATTGACTCCTTTCTTTTCAAGAACTCTCCATAGCACTTCCCTTGGAACTTTATCATATATTTTTTCTAAATCAATAAATATCATATGTAGATCCTCCTTATTTTCTCTATATTTCTCCATCAAACCTCTTAATAAATATATGGCTTCCATAGTCGACCTACCTGGCATGAATCCAAATTGATTTTGAGAAACATTAGTATCACGCCGCAACCTATGCTCCATAACTCGCTCCCATAGTTTTAAAGTATGACACATTAACTTAATGCCTCTATAATTCGCACAATCTTGTGCATTACATTTATTTGTAAAAATAGGAATTAACACACTCATTCTCCACTCATCTGGCATTTTTTTAGTCTTCAAAATAGTATTAAAAAGTTTAGTAAGCCAATAAATTCCTTCATCTCCTAAGCATTTCCACACCTCTATTGGAATATCATCAGGTCCAATAACTTTTTCACCCTTTATTTTTTTTAAAGCCATTCTAACTTCAATTTTACTAATATGCCGATAAAAACATAAATCTTTATTTTTATTTAAAGTTCTAAGGTCATTATAGTCAATTTTATTTTCACAATCTTCATTAAAAAGTTTAGCAAAATATCTCATCCACCTTTATTGAATATCATATTCTAAGAAAAGTATTTTTGATCTTCATCCTTAATACACTTCACTTGAACTAAATCCTTACTACTCCTATCTCTTTGTCTAGCTAACTTATACATATATCTTTCTCACTCAGTAGTATCTAATCTATTATATAAATCACTAAAAGCTAATGTTTTTGCATCGCATATTGCTTTCTTAGCATCCTTACGAGCCACTTTATATATTTCCCAATTATCAGAATTTTTAAAATTAAATAAAATTTTATAACTAAACTTTTTATTTTTAATCTTTTCTTACACATTTGGATTCCACCACCAACTATTTTTACTATTAGGAGTTTTTCCCTTTGATAATCCAAAGACATCTTTTGCAATATTCTTAATATCACTAGCCATTTTTTCTCACATAACATTAACATCCTCATGCACAGATAAAATCTTAAAATCTAAAATCTTATTCTCAAAAATATTTTTGTTAATATTCTTTAAATGATAATCCTAGAAATCCGTTTTACTTTATTTTTTTATTTTATGCCCCTTTATCTTAAAGTCCAAAACTAATAATCGATGTTGGGTACATAAATTTTCACTCGGAATAACTTTACAAACTTTACAATCTAAACGACTTAATTTTCTAATAAGATAATAATCAATCTGGGTTATACTATATCTATTTTTATAAGTGATGAGATGCTCATTCTTTTTCTTAAATAAGGTATTAACAATTGAAAAATCATAAGCTAAACTAAAATCTAATATGATCTTGCCATCTTCATTCATCGTTACAAATCCATGACCACCATGAATGCTTTTAAAATCATCTACCTCTCTATCAATATGTCTATTTAAATATCCTCCAATAAAAACTCTTTCTTCAAGAGGTATCTTTTGTATTAATTCTTTTAAGTCATTCCAAAAATTTAATTTAGAACTCATATCTAAACCTATTTGAAGAGCATAAGCACTTATAATATTAACAATCTTATCATCAACAATAATTTTTAAAGCTATAATTCTATCTTCAATCCTATTTATTTTTATAACATCATCCTTTAAACTCTTATCTATAATAACACATACACCATTTCTAGTACGACTCATACCCGAATGCCAAAGTTTAAATCCTAAACTATCAACTTCCTTAGCCTTCTCTCCAACTCATTTAGTTTCCTGAATGCACAAAATATTTAACTTCCTATGAATCATTATATATTAATTTCATTATTTTTCTATAAGGGAACCTATATTACAAGATTTTATCCTAATTTTAGTTTTATGGACTAGCTTCTTTACCCACATCCGTCCTTGATGTGGGAACCCTTGCCTATTTAACAGCGGCCCTTGCACACTTGTCACTGTATTCAGGCCATACAACGCATTGCTTCCAGAGGACACCCTAGCGTTAACACAATTTCTTAAAGGATTCATGTCATTATTGTTCGATAAATTTTACGCTGGCTGTCGACTACCTAAAGCAACCATCCACTTTTCTCATCCAGGACTTGGGACCTGGAAACGGTAGTGTTGTTATCGTTAACATATATATCCAAAAATAAATAGTAACGACACATCACATAAGAACTCATAAGTCATCAGCACTGTCATCACTAAGGGGGTCTTCATTTGAATCATTAATATGATGAACTGCTCTCTCCCCTTCCTCCTCTCCTATAGAGTCCAATGTCTCCCAATTAGGTCCTTTCTCAATATCAGTTATCTTCCTTTTCCCTAAATATTTTCGAACAATATCAAAATGAATAATAGTGTAATACATTAATAAAAGTTTAAGAAAATTATATTATTTATATACCTTTTATAATTTATTCTTGAGTTGTGATGGATGTAGATGCTTTAAGACCATCAAATAAATTAACATTTAAATCTTCATCTTATAATTCTGATGGCATCACTTCAACTTTATTATCTATAAACCACTTATCATCAGATGCCACATCGTCACAAAATAAATGATCTTCATCATCCATTAATTCTTTTTTCTTCAAATTCCTATATCTGAGTCTCTTATTGTACATAATGTACACCAGTGAATTCATCCTCAATGTCGACAAGCAATTTTTCCTCTTTGTATGTACTTGGTTGTATGCACTCTAATTTTTTTAACAGCCAGATGAAGAGCATGTCAAGCCCAAAACTTTCACAGCAAAATGCTGTAATTCTGGAGACCCATCGCCAAATTAAATCCACCACTTAACTAATATTTATATAAGAGAGTTTAATTAGCGCAAAAAAATAACCTTTAAATAAATGTTTAAAACATTAAATAAAATTACCTGAAGATTGTTTGACAATTGTATTCTTTGTTTGTTGTAATCTAAAAAAATCTTCTTTGTTTCTAAAAGGTAACAATTGCATACCAGCATTTGATCTTTCAGTTGCATTACTTATTAGCCGATCATGCAATGATACAATCCCAACTTTATTTCAGGGTTTGTAGACTTGTTCTCTGCATATTGATACTTAGGATTTAGGTAATAGCCAGCTGCATGCAATTGTCGGTGAAGCTGTAGCTCCCACTTTTCATCAATAATATTTTAATTTTTTCTTAAGCTATGCTCTTCGCCTCCTAAGTTGGAGGCAGTCATTTCTTTGACTTCTTCAATGACATTGTAGATGAAACCCATTGTAGGCTTTTTCTCAGTATTCTCCATCCTTAAAACTTGAACCAAATGTCTAGTAATTGTAATGGCATATAAGATACTTTGCCAAAATCTAACATTTAAAACAATCTTTCTAATTTCTTTTCTCTCAACCTTCTTTGCCCAAGTACAACTCAACCACTATGCAGATGTGAACATAGCCTCTAAAGATTGTCTAGCATCCAGCATGCTCCTTAAGGTCAAGTAAGCGGTGGCAAATTTTGTTGCTGCTGGCCTTAGAATTTTTTTCTTTGAAAAATTCCTCATAGGAGTTAGAACCCAAGAGTGGTTGTAAATAAACTTGGTTATTTTTTTGCTTTAGTTAGTGCATTCTTATGTGAGGTAGCTCTCCAAGCTTCTCAAGAATTAGATCTATGTATTGTGCGCACATGGAGTCTAATACAAATGTTTCCACTTCTACATAAGTTTGTTACCTATAGCCTTGCAAGCACTTGCATTATCTGTCACAACTTGTACAACCAAATGTTTTCCAACCTCCTCAATACTGCTATCTAATAATCCAAATATGAACTCATCATCTTCGACTTAGTTAGATGCTTCAACTGACCTTAAAACCATAGTACCATAAGGATTATTAATGAAGATGTTGATCAGACTTTTATGTTTGATATTAGACCACCCATATGACATAATTGTTACTTCTATTTGGGCCCAAGTCCTCTTAATTTCTTCAATGCTTTTATCAGTGCTTTCTAACTCCTCATTCAGAATCCATGTTCTCAAATCATACATTGTTGGAGGTTTGAACATTCAACTAAATGCTCTAACTGAACGAATTATGTTGTAATAGGCAGGTGATTTTTTAACATTAAATGGAATTGTATTTTCGTAGAAGAATATGCCTATATCCTTACACACTCTTCTCCGTGCCTCCCTTGCATTTTCTGGGGCCATCTTCTGTCTATTAGGAGGCCTATCCTCTGATATGTCTACCATATAATGATCCATAGGCCCTCTAGCACCCCTAGATAAAATGAGCTTTATCGAAGAAGATGAATCCCTAATGCTGCACTCACTCGCATAGTAAGAGCCAACATCAACTTTATTCTCAAATTACTTCTGTGCAAGTTATTTTGATGTGGTAGACTTATTCATGTATGACTTTATTTATTCCCTTACAGTATCAAGAACTTTGGAGCATGGAGCAACATTCTTGTGAGACCCTGAAAGGTGATCCTTCATCCTAGTTATACCTCCCTTCATAACTTTGTCACAGTAATTGCATTTTAGATAAATATATGTTTTATCACTTCCCCCTACATCCACCTGAGTGCTATGTTTTCATGCTGGATCTTTTCTATGACCTGATGCAGCTTTATCCTTACTTCTGACCATCATTTATGAGAAGAATATATATTATTGCAATATATCAAACCCCTAAATATAATGCTTCACTTTTTCTACATTAAGAAAACTTATACAAAGCATGCACTCATGAAGAAGCAGACTAACACTAACAACTGCCCCCAGAACAAATTTTTACTGTAACAGTAATTTTGAAGTTCTGCTTATTTTTAAAGTTCGTAAGTCGTTTGTATGGAAAGATACCGAGCATGTATCGAGCTGTACCGAGCAGTACTGAGCATGTAGCTAACGGTACCAAGCATGTACCTAGCGGTACCGAGCATATACCTAGTGGTACCAAGCATTATTATACCAAGTGGTACCGAGTAGTACCAAGCATGTACCTAGTGATACCGAGCGATACCGAGCGATACCGAGCAGACATACCGATTGTGGAATCTTACTCAGCAGAATATGGAGGTCCTTATGGCAGAACAGACCGATCTTGTATTTCACAATAAGGTGATAGATGGAACCACGAAGAAGAAGAGCTTTCAACGGTCGGTTGAAGGAGACTCCAGTCCAACTCGTGGTAGACGAGAACTCCAAGCTATAGAAAAAGAGCAACTCTTGGTGGATGGAAGCCGACGCTGGTCGAATGGAAGGAACTCAGGAAAAGGGGAAAATGTCTCTCTCGAAGAAGGGAGAATAAACCTAGTTTTGGTTCGGAAATGACCGAAGACGCAGGGGGTGGGGGGCCGAACCGAATAGATATATATTATGTTAGATTTTTTTTTTTTTTTTAATTTTAAGAAGCGGACGCCTCTAAAACATGAGGCGAGGCACGCCTTGAGACGCGCCTTAATGAACTTGAGGCGTACGCCTTAATGCCAGCTCTCATTGCGTAGGCTTTGAGGCTTAAAAGTTTAAAATTGCGTTGAGGCGCGCCTCTCTTAATTGCACAATTTTAAACCATGCATCCATCTCAGAAGCTACAATTTATATGATTTCATTACAAAAAAATAAGGCTTTCTCGAAAACAGTAAACATAGACCTAAGAATATTTTTGGACTAATTATTTAATTAGAACTTTATTCTTATTTTAATAGCTGATGTATTAAGAATACTTCCCATGACCGATTAGGAGACTAGATGTATTAGATTTGACATATGTTAAGTAAGATTGAGGTAGACCTAAAATGCTTTGTTAGAACGTATTAGAAATGATATTTTTTTTTATTAGATTAAATGAGAATTTGACTCTTAACAGGACATAATAGAGAAAATATGATTCATGTAGTTGACCTTATATAGTGGAATAAAGGATTGATGTTGTTCTTGTCGTTGTAATTTGATTTATAAACAAATTTAATTAGCTTATTTGTTAATCTTATTAACATGTTGAGGATGCTTAAGTGTCTTAGTTCTTTAGAAAAATGAGAATGTTTATATGAATTCCTTGCAAATCTAGGAGGATACAATAAAGAATTATTATAGTTGTCCTCCATCCACAGGCAAGATTCCTTTCCCCGGCTTTTTCCAATTGCTGCTCATTTTTTCCAAAGCAATGTTGTCCTTAAGAAGCGGATCAAATACTTGCATAGATGTCTTTCTTATTAAAAAATAAGCAATGATTTCATATAGAAGTTGATTGTTGGTACCACCATATCTGACTAGCCTTGCTCCAACTTATAGTGGAAGAGAATGACATGTTCTCTGTTAAGTTTTTGAACATTGAAGAATATTGTTTGGCTTGACCACTTCAAATGAGGGTGTATGGTATTTGTAGTTTACATGGTGTTAACATGTGAGGTCTTTTGCTGAAATGACCTACACGCTATCACAAATGATACAGATTTTAGAAAATAAGTGCTGTAGGAGTATCAGATCTAAGACCAAATATATGATTTGCAATTTTAGTGAGAGTGAAATTAGTAATTCTCTGATAGGAAACGCTTGAAGATTTTAAGTAAGTCCTATCAATTTCAGAAAAACAGCAAGAAAACTCTTCCAAACTTCAAAGAAAAAATTAGAAAAATAGCAATTTTATTGTGATAATCAAACTAACGGAAGAAAAATAACAAGATACAGTTGATCCTCAATTCGAGAGGAGGATCGATCTCTCCCAAATCCCAAGAACAGCTGCTAAAATTCCCCAAAACAGCACACCGAAGGTCCCAAAAACAACTCTAATACCAATTTGATAGGAAAAACTTAAAGATTTCAAGTAACTTTCAATTTCAGAAAAACAGCCAGAAAACTCCTCCAAACTTCAAAGGAAAAATAAGGAAAACAGGAATTTTATTGTGATAATCAAACTAACTGAAGAAAAATATCAAGATACAGTTGATCCTCAATTCGAGAGGAGGTTCGTTCTCTCCTAAATCTCTAGACATCGTTAGAGCCCAAAGAAAACCTAAGGGATCTCAAATTTCAGCTAAATTCAAGATGCCCTAACCCTAGGAAAAACAAATAATGCATACCATTCAAAAGGAAATCTCTAAACAATCCCTACACTCAATTTCCCTCCTAAACTCCCATAAAAATCCTTCCTAAGTTGCTCCTTGAAGAGTGGCGGTCAGCTCCTGCGTACAGGAGGCAGAGAATTCTGCCCCTTTTCGTGTGAGCCGGTCCACACGGGATCAGCTGGACCGGTCGAACATTATCAACCAGTTTTTTTTTAAGATTAAGTGGATTCCTTGATGTAATGGGTCTATGTATTTTAGAATTAATAAAAAAAAATGATAATATGGATGTTGATACGACTGATTGGTGGGAAAAAATATTAAAAGTTTGTAGAAGTACTATGCGATAGGAGAATATCATGGAGACTTCAAATATTAATTTAATAAGGGTGTAATCAGGTTGCATGTGATAATGAATCTATTTGTTGGGTGATTTAGAAAGATCTTGTCAGCTGTGTTAAATGTAGTAGGAAGTGAGAATTAAGGTACGGTAAAATTAGTAATAGTAGATTTAGAAATAATTAGAGTAGAGATATACTTGGACTAGCACCTATTGAAGATAAAATAGTAATAAATAAATTTTGCTATTTTTGGTATACACTACATAGGGTTGGAGATGCACAAATAAAAATCATGTGGTAGGCCTAGGCATGAGAATGGTTGTATCCAAGGTGACACACCTTGAAGTTGTGCAAAATATTTTGTTAGAAATATGATTAATATCTCATGTAGCACTCTACAAAAATGTATAGAGAATAATGATTCATAAAGATGACCATTATCATAAAAAAAAGGGTAATAATGATTGATACATCATAACAAAATTATGATGATCAGACACGAATCTCGAGGCAGAATCAAGTTGGAAACTTCCTAAATTAAAATTGGAATCATTCAAATTCTGATTTCAACAAACTTATAATCAAACTAAACATCTAGGAAAGAAGAACCCAACGACACCAAATTCGACTCATTCCGAGCCCAAATGGGTCCAAATTGAGGACCTAAAGCGCTAATGGAAGGTTCAAACCACAATTTGGATTACCAAACGGTTTCCAAACGTGACATGCTTATAGTCGAATTGAGCAGCTCGATGAGACGAATCCTGCGAGCCCATGATTGCTGAATTCCGACATCATTAAGACCTTCAAATGTGTAACGAACGGTCCACGATCAAGGGATTCAACATCGGCCGTCCATCGAAACCACTCCCCATTTACCCTTGATCTTCCTCTTATTTACGGGCCATGCCATTCTAGGAAATCTATGAATAAACCCTTTCTTCTACTTGAAAAGGGACTCCCTAAGCCAAAGGATCACGAGAGAGATCGGAGATCGCTCTTACCTCCTTGCCTCCTCGACCACCGCCCGGAGTTCTGCCGGACCACCACCTGATGTCCTGAGCTCCGCTGGACCACCGCTTGACACCCTGAGCTACGCCGGACTACCACCTGATGTCCTAATCTCCGTTGGACTACCGCTTGACTCCCTGAACTCCGCCGGACCACCACCTGATGTCCTAAGCTCCGCCGGACCACCGCTTGATGCCCTGAACTCTGCCGGACCTCCACTTGACATCCTAAGCTCCGCCGGACCACTGCCTGATGCCTTGTGCTCCGCCAAACCACCGCTTGATGCCCTGAACTCCACTGGACCTCCACCTGACATCATAAGCTCCGCCGGACAACCGCTTGATGCCCTGTGCTCCGCCGGACCACCACCTGACGTCTTAAGCTCCGCCAGACCTCTGCCTGATGTCCTAAGCTCTGCCAGACCACCGCTTGACGCCTTGAGCTCCGCTGAACCACCACCTGACATCCTAAGCTCCGTCGGACCACCGCTTGATGCTCGGAGTTCTGCCAGACCACCACTTGACGCCAGAGTTCCGCAGAACCACCACCTGAGTCCCTGAGTTCTACCGGACCATCGCTTGATCCCCTGAGTTCCGCCGGGCTACTACCTAATGCTAGGAGTTCTTTCGAGCCACTAAGAACACCAGGGTTCTACTAAGTGACACCCAAACTTGCAAGTGACGCCGTAATTCTGCCAGATCACCGGGTGACCCCAAAGTTCCACTAGACCCTCAAGTGACATCAGGCTTTCATTTACCCCTGACTTCAACCATACGGTTGATATTTGTAATCTGATCGCCCTCGGGGGCGAGTAAGCCCATTGTAACCTACTCAAACTTTAGTGGAATTATTTTCAACTGGACCAGGCCCGGTGATTTTTCCCCTTTCCAGGGTTTTCCATGTAAAACTCTTGTGTTCTCTGTGTGTGAGCTGGATATCCGTGCAACGCTAAAACGTAGGATCATAACTCTATTGCCGCGTATATTCTAGCCCACAACAATGATGATATAAATTAACTTAGATTGTTCATTCTTAGTAAGTTAATTTTTTCTAGGCTGAATATAGAAAGCATTAAAAAGCTTGCTAGGTCATACTTACCAATTTTTTCTGGCAGGACTTATATTGGTGAGAGATCTGTAAAGAGACTGCACCTGTCCAAGGCCTTAACAATATCAGAGAATACAACTGTCCATGAGGCTTGTCGCAGGATGGCTGCTATTGGGGTTGATGCTGTGTTGCTAACAGATTCTAATGCTTTACTTTGTGGGATCCTAACAGACAAGGTTTATGAGAACCTTTTTGTTCATAGTGATCCATAATTTCTTTTATTGGATGTAGAAGGTGATGATTTATAATGATCTTTCATTGAAGGATATTGCAACAAGAGTAATTGCTAATGAACTAAGGCTTAAAGATGTACCTGTGGCCAAAGTTATGACGAGAAATCCTGTTTTTGTTCTTTCAGACACTTTGGCCGTGGAGGCATTGCAGAAGATGGTGAAAGGTGCATATGCTTAAATATAACCCTGTTCTTCTTTTTTCTATGTGAAGTCTATTGATATATCAACAATACTGTTTTTTCGGCAGGAAAATTTAGACATTTGCCTGTTGTTGAGAATGGTGAAGTCATTGCTTTACTTGACATTGCTAGGTGTCTATATGATGCCATTGCACGGATGGAGAGAGCATCTGAGAAAGGAAAAGCCATTGCTGCAGCTGTTGAGGGGGTGGAAAAGCATTGGGGAACTTCAGTTTCAGGTATGGTAATTGGTTGTTTTGAGAAAGGTCCAAATCTGAATCTGTTTGCATTCCCTTCATTTGACCGTGCTAGTTAATTCGTTAGCAACACTCTAATTTGCTATTTTTTATTGCTAAGTTGTTTAATATCTTCTTCAGTGCTTCAAACTATACAGTATATACACTATAGCAGAGTAGAACTATAGCTTATTGGATACTCATTTTGCCTAACAACCAGGTTCCAATACATTTATTGAAACACTTCGAGAAAGAATGTTTAAGCCATCCCTGTCAACAATCATTCCAGAGAGTTCAATGTAGGTAATATTCATGTTAATATTTTTATTGATAGCCTTGCAAATGGTTTTATGAATCCTGATGGTGGTGTGACTTATTAGGGTGGTGAAAGTTTCACCAAGCGACTCAGTTTTAACCGCTACAAAAAAGATGCTGGAATTGAAAATGAGTTATGCAGTTGTAGTAGTTGAAGACAAGCCTCTAGGAATATTGACGTAAGCTTTTATTGTTTTATGGATGTTTCCAATCATCAGATTTTTTTGATAACGCTCAATATAAGATTGTTTTTTGTATCAGTTCAAGGGATATTCTAATGCGCGTAATTGCCAAAAATCTCACTCCAGAGTCAACCCATGTGGAGAAGGTTGAACTTTTTCCATATTTACTGATTGCTTGACTGTGCTCTTTCTAATTCTTTATTTTCCTCTTATGTACGAAATATTCAATTTTGTTTCTGTTACAACAGTTTGGCATGCATGATTTTTGGTAGCCGGTATTTATTTGCCTGATTTGTGGTTATTTATTTTCTTCGTACTAAAAAAATTCCCAACTAATCATATTAAGCTGAAAATCTTTTATCGTTTTACTTGGAAATTGCAAATAATCATTTGGTTTAATGCTCTACATATTTCTGTACTAGACTAGGTAACAACGAGAAATGAAGTATTATAAATATTTAAATGAAGGGAAAGGATTTGATAGGACTTGATGATCAAAACAACATACAACAATATAAAAAAACAACAACTTACTCCAAATAGATCAAGAAATAACACAAAGAGAGCTATTTTTACTAATTTTCAAGCAAACCAAGACAAGCTACAAGTTGATTCACTGTTCAAGAGGTGAATCGTCTCTCTCACAATTATTAACAGCCACTACGAACCCAAAACCTCACAAAAACTGGTGCAAGAATTCAAAAAATAACCTAAAAACCCCAAGCCACCATAATCTCCTCCCTTAAACAGCTCAAATGCCCCCTAATAAATGCCCCTTACATCTAATAAACGCCCCTTACATCTTTCCCAGAGAGTCCCCTCCTTTCCCAAAGAGTTTTCTCTCAAAGCCTCTTCTCCTATAAGTGATAAAAGAGGTGTTGGGCCCCACATGGCAGTTGAATTATTGCTGCCAACTGTATCAATACTCCCCTCCCAAAAAGTCACATTGTCCTCAAGGTGAAAATAGGAAATTGCTTCTGAATAGTACTGTAGGGCTCCCATGTTGTCTCATATTCAGGTAAATCCTTCCACTTGATCAGTACTTCCTTGATCCCCTTATCTCCTTGGCACATCCCTTTCACCTCCAATGGTTATAATATTACCTTCATATCCTCTAACAATGTGGTCGGTAGTGCAGGCAAGGGTGTGTGATTTCCAATGGCTTGTCTCAGTTGCGATACATGAAATACGAGATGAATGGCTAAGGTCGGTGGCAATCGTAGGCGATATACTACTAAGCCAATGCGCTCCACTTCCTCGTAGGGTCCCAAGTAACGGGGTGAAAGCTTCGCATTCCTTAGTCGAGCTAAAGTCCTCTGTCTGTAAGGCCGGATCTTCAAATAAACCATGTCCCCAACCTTTAACTGCACATCTCTCCTATGTTCATCCGCTTGCTTCTTCATGATTTGTTGTGCTCATTGTAGATGTTCTTTTAATTCTGCCAAAATTCGATCTCTTTCTCCCAATTATTGCTCCATTGATGACACTGGTGTGTTGCCCTACCCATAATGTATCAGATGAGGTGGATCCCTCCCATATAGAATTTTAAATGGCGTTGTCTAGGCTGTTGTATGATATGATGTGTTATATCAATATTCCGCCCAGGCTAACCATTTGGCCCATATCTTTGGTGTATCTGATACAAAGCAACGAAGATAAGTTTCCACGTGATTCACCACCTCCGTCTGGGGGTGATAAGTTGCACTCCTCTTCAGGATAGTCCTCTGCATCATGAATAACTTCCTCTAGAAGTGGCTTAAAAAGACGACCTTATCTTGATCGGACACAGTGGACTCAGGTATGCCATGCAAATGAACCACCTCTCTAATGAATGCGGTTGTCACCGACACCGTGGTGTAAGGGTGGCGTAAGGGAACGAAATGAGCATATTTGCTCAATCTATCCGCCACCACTAGAATCACAGTAAACCTATCTGATCTAGGTAGTCCGTCAATGAAATCCATAGTCATCTCTTCCCACACTTTCTCGGGTAATTCTAATGGCTGTAGAATACCACATGGAGCCTTAGCTAGATATTTGTGTCTCTGACACACATCACAACTGGCCACCAACTCCTCTACATCCTTCTGCATGCCCACCCAGTATAGCTCTACTGCCAGTCTATGATGTCTTTTGAACTCATGAATGCCCTCCAATAGTTGTAACATGATGCTCCTGTAACAAATGAGGGATGTGTGGCGATTTCCTTGAAAGCACAAACTTTGATTGGTATAGTAGTTTCTGACCCATCAAAGAATAACCAGGATGGCTATTCTTGTCCTGCAGCAAGTCCCTTATGATCATACTCAGCTCCTCATCCTTCTCGCACTCATGCTTCAAGGCCTTCCAATCCACCACCATGGGAATAGATAGAGCCATAACCTGAGGGTCTTCACTACGCCTAGAGAGAGCATCTATTGCTTTATTTTCTAACTCAAGTTTGTACTGAAATCTCGATGTCATAATCCAACAACTTGGAAAGCCACTGCTGATGCTCCTCTGTCACTATCATCTGCTCTAACAGGAACCTCAAACTTCTTTTGTCAGTCCTGACTATTAAGTGTCTTCCTAATAGATAAGGTCGTCACTTCTGTATTGCCAACACTATTTTCATTAGCTCCCTTTCATACACTGATTTTAGTCTGGCCCTAGCGGTCAAAACCTAGTTGAAATAAGCTATGGTTCTCTGACTCTACATAAGAACTACCCCTAATCCAAAACCTGATGCATTAGTCTCCACTACAAACGGCTTGCTGAAATCTGGTAATGCTAACATAGGTCATGGTTTTCTTCAGCTGCTCAAATGCTTGGATGGCTGCCACTCCCCATTTGAAACTATCATTCTTCAGTTGCTTGGTTAATAACCATGCTATAGAATTGTATCCCCTCACAAACTTCCTGTAGTATCCTGTGAGTCCCAAGAACCCTCTTAACTCCTTTAGGGTTTTGGGTAAGGGCCACTCCAACATAGCCTCTATCTTGGAAAGATCTGCAGCTACTCCTGATTCAGATACCACATGTCCCAAATACTTCACCCTTTGTTATGCAAAGGAACACTTCTTCAAATTGGCATATAGTTGATGTTCCTTCAATGTCACTAATACTATCCTTAAGTGTTCTACATGCTCTGCCTTATATTGACTATACACTAAAATATCATCAAAGAAAACCAATACAAACTTGCGGAGGTTGGGCTGAAATACCTTGTTCATAAGCTACTAGAAGGTAGCTGGGGCATTGGTAAGCCCAAAAAGCATCACTAAGAACTCGTAATGACCTTCATGAGTCATAAAAGCAGTATTTTGGAATTCAACGGGCCGTATTCTAATATGATGATATCACGATTTCAGATCAATCTTAGAGAACATCATTGCTCCATATAATTCATCCAACAACTCATCAATGATTGGTATAGGAAACTTATCAAACACTGTTTCCTTAATCAGAGCCCGATAATCTAAACAAAATCTCAAACTACCATCATTCTTCTTCACCAACAACACCGGACTAGAAAAGGGATTAATACTGGGACAAATGATCTAGGCCTCCAACATCTCCTTGATCAGTCTCTCAATTTCATCTTTTTGAATTTATGGGTACCGATAGAGTCGGACACTAATATGCTATACCCCCTCCTTCAGGATGATGGTATGCTCATGCTCCCTTGGGGGAGGTAGGCCTTGAGGCTACTGGAACACCTCCCTCGAGGCTCGGGAGCTCCACCAAGAATCCCATCCCTGCTCCCTCGATCGCCCTCACTATGGTCTTGAGAGAAACCTTAGTTTTGAACATACTAGGATCCCCTCTAATTCTTACCTTCCTTCTCACCATGAATTCCATAGTCAATGCTTTCCAGTCCGCCTTAGTTTCCCCCAATGTTTGTAACCACTTTATGCCTAAAATTACATCTGTGCTCCTTAACTCCAAAGGAAGAAAATCCTCCTTCACCTGGATCTCCTCTTGTGTTACCATCAACCCTAGGCTGCCTTTACTCTTCTCCATGTTCCCTATTCCCTTCATCACCCCAAAACAACCAGTGTCAACTAGCTTCAGCCCCAATCGGTCCACTAACTGGTTGGAGATGAAGTTGTGGGTTGCCCTACTTTCCACCAGAACTATCACTGATTCTCCTCTTATCTCTCCCCTCACCTTCATTGTGTGATTTGAGATAAACCCCACCACTGAGTTTAGGGAGATCTCCACCACATCTAGGTGCAAATGCTCCTCGTTGTCTACCACCTCCTCCTTAAGAGTCTCCTCATCAAAGCCTGTAAGTACATGCAATGAATGATCCTTGCATCAGTGGCCAGATGCAAATTTCTCATCACAACGGAAACACAATCCCCTAGCCCACTTCTCTTGAACTTCTTTCTCAGTCAACCGCTTCAAATTTCCCCCTGGTCATGTTCCCAATCCCCTATCCTTGGGTACTTCTCTCTGAATGGGCATAGGTTGTATCTTTGGTGCCAAAAAAGTAGTCGTCTAGTATGAAGCTCCCAAATTGTTGCCTTTGTTGCTTCTCTCAAGTGAGTTTTTGTCCTCCACCAATTGGGATAGCTCCATGACCTCCTCCAACCCTTGTGGCCTCAATAACTGGACAACATCCCTTAATTCTGGCTTGAGTCCCTTCATAAAATTTAACTCCAATACTGTCTCAGATGCCTCCCCAATCGGTTTGAAAGATACTCCAACCTCTCCCGATAATCCATCACTGTTCCTTATTGAACAAGAGAATAGAACTGCTCGTAAAAGTTTCCTTCCCGATTGGTTTTGAAACGTTCTAATAAGTTATCTCTGAACTCTCTCCACGATCGAATTGGTTCTCTCATGTCTCTCCACTTATACCAAAATAAGGCCTTCCCCTCTAAGCATAAAGCTGCCGCCGTGAGCCTCTCTTCCTCCGTCATCCCATTCACTACAAAGTATCTTTACACCCTATAGATGCACCAATGAATATCTTTCCCTTCAAAAACATGCATCTTCAATTTTCTCACTCTCGGATCCCCTCTGCTCCAACTTTCTCTTCCACCTCGAACTCCTCCCATATAGCGATTGTTGTGATCTCTCCATTGTTCTCTCCCACCTCTCCTCCTTTCATATATATCCTCTTCCAAAATCAGCCCTCATTTCTTCCTCCCCATTTCTC